TACCGTTGGCACTATTAATGTGTTTTAACAGTGATTTTTGAGGCAGAGAATACTATTTGTCTATGACGCTATAACATGGAGCCGGTCGACATCTACTTCAAAGCACCCAGTTGAGCAGATGTGAAGTGGGACAAGCGTGGAAATAAAGTAAGGAGGGAGAGCGTGAACTAAATAGGACATGGGATCTGAATCACTCCTTCTCCTTGTATGTCCCTTGCCAACAAATGAGCTACCAGCTGTTGGCAAACAGCAGATGTTTGTTTATATTCAAAGTGAAGCTTGCTGCTATGGCGAGTGACATCATACTAGCTACCATCACAACATTACAATTTCAGCATCCAGGCATCCTTATGGTGGTCAACGGAGACTTCAAACAGGTACTTTCTCTCTCATCAACGAACAACTTCTCACAACGTGTAGACTGTGCAACAAGTTGAAATAAATTTCTGGACCTCCTGTATGCCAAATACCAATGTGAAGGGAGCTTTTATTGTGTATTTTAATTGGAAAAATAACATTTATCATTATCTCTGAAATTAGCTACAGGTCTTAAAATGTTACAACTGCAGTTTTATTATTAGTTTTTTTACAGTGCTATAAAAATCAGCATGTATTGTATTAATTGTATAAAGGAAGCTGCATTGAATTTTGTCTCATGCCAGATTTCTATGGTAATAGACTGCGAAGTTCAAGAAGAAAAGTACAACTCACTGGGTTCTACGCCCTCGCTGAGAAGTTCAACCTGCGAGCGCATCTTCTCATACAAATTCTGGAGGCTCAGCACGGCGGTCTCCATGGTGTCTTTGAGGTAACTGGAAGAGAGAGAGAGAGAGAGAGAGAGAGAGAGAGAGAAAGAGAGAGAGAGACTGTGAAATTATAGCAACCGAAAAAAAACCCAGTAACCTTGCTGCTGTGCAGTCTAGGAAACAAGAAAATATTTTGGCTACTTATTTAGATTGACTAAATTCGCGTTAGTTTTTCGTCCCAACGTTACATATAATTCAAAGAATGGGTGAAGTGAATGACGGTTACGATAGTGAGTCAGGAAGGAGACGCTCGCAACGGAGTGTTGCCAGACGCTCAAATATACGCAAACAAATAAGAGTAACCAGCGAGTGCAATTTACTTACCGTTTTCTGAGTAGGATTCGTGAAATATCCGGCGACAAACTCGCACCAGCGACGTTGTAATCGCACCAGCGCGGCGTCCTTCGAGTTTTTACCAACCGACTAGCCACCAGTTCGCTGTTCAGTTCGTGTCCGACCGCAACGGGCGCGTCTATATTTAAAATTTCGTCGCTAGCCAATGAGCAAAGCGCACCGCCCCACGGGTTGTTCTACGTCACGGCCGGAAACTAAATTACATAACGGTTCCATTTGAAACCTTCAAATTTAAAGGCAAACGCGTATCAAAAGACAATTGACAACCGCCTCCACGATGGCACCACGAGTGACCCCCCCCCGCCCCGAATACAGTATCATTTGAAGAAGGCAGAGCAATTGAGAAAACAGGGTAAATTCATTGATTGGTGATTTTAATCGTTTTCAAAAATAGTATGTGTATGACAACGAATGATTAAAGCGAGACACACCTTATACTGTATTATGGAAAATTGTGTTTTTCATTATTTGCATACAAATGGTTGAATCTCTGGAGAACCTGCCCACCCATTCACGTGTGAAATTATAAACGCAAGTAAATCTTTTGTTTTCTGCATATTTCTGAAAATGTCTGTGAGCTACCCGTTTCACACTTCTGCCCCCAACGATATTATCCACACGTGTAGTTTCTCAGCCAATGATTGGCAGCTACGCTGGCTAAAGTAACAGAGCTCTAACTTGCTTCATTTTCTTGTCAATTTGTTTGACAACAAGCCTGATATAGCAAGGGGCTCTTTGAAGGAGATTCCTGGATCCTGACATGTCATTGCAAGAGTTTCCAGGTGTGTCATGGACCAATATCAGCCGTCTCTTGATATCGCCTATCTAGCTAGCCACCAGCCAGCAACATCTTGTAAGGGGCCCCGACAGGGGGATTCCGAAAGCAGTAGCAGTGCCATTGTTTTGTCATTGATATGGGCAAATATCACCATACAGATTAATCGATCACTAAAATAATTGTCAATTATAGCCCCATGCAGTTTAAGGTGATGAACGGGACACCATGAAGGAGTTAAAAGGAGGACCATTCAGATGCAACAACAATTTTTCATTTGGTTGTTTTATATTTATAGGTTGCAAGTTTGGTTGGTGAAAATATTGACTGCAATTATGACATTCCAAAGATACAAACGACGCGCAATTGTCATAATTATGTTTTTGTTTAGATTACATTTGGATTTGTAGTCGCTGATGGTGTAGTGGTACACTTGCCTGACTTGTGACTGTGCAGCGTGGGATCGCTCTCGATATGAATGTTTGTTTGTCTCTTTGACTTTCTATGTGCTCTGCGACTGACTGGCGACTAATCCCAAGTGTAGTCTGCCTTCCACCCGAAGTCAGCTGAGATAGGCACCAGCACCCCCAGTGACCCTGATGTGCGGTGGAGAAAATGTATGAATAGATGGATTTGGTTTTATTTCATAATTTACTGTTTTGTTCCGTTTGTGACCAACAGATGGCATTGGAGGGCTTATCCTCCAACTCGCATCTGTTGGTCATCATGTCATTAGTTCTTTTCAGTTAAAAGGACAGCTACGCCGACCGCTCTGGGTCGCATTGTTGTGTTACTGTCATGGGGTTGTTTTTTTGTTATTTTGAGTTTGGGCTTTTCATGACTTTGTGTTATGGATTGAGTTTTTCCAGTGTGCCCCTGTGAGTGTTTCTGTTCATGTATTTTGTTCAAGTACACCCCGCTTCTCCTGCCTCCTTTCTTATTTGGTCCACTGCCTTCGGAACTCATGACAGAAGATTCTGACCAAAAATGGACCCTGCAGGACCAGATCCCATTGGCACATGTCCTGCGGTAACCACCCGTCCCAGTTCAGGCGACGCACATCCTGCGGCTGCTACCCGTACCTGTTCCGGTGGCACATGGCCTGCAGCCACCACTAATCTTTGTTCCGGCGCTGCATGGCCTGCAGCCGCCATCCGTTCGTGTGGCGCACGGCCTGCAGCTGCCACCCATTCCTGTGTCGCACATCCTGTGGCTGCCACCTGTTCCTGTTCAGGCAGTGCACAGCCTGCGGCCAAAGAGCTTTCTTGTTCCGGTGGTGCATGGCCCAACCCAGTTCTGGCGCCGCACATCCTGCAAACACCACTGTGTGACTTTGGGACTTCTGGGATCTGTCCCTTTGGGGAGGGGTACTGTCATGATTCTGTTTAGATTAGGTTTTGTTTTGTAGTTTACTGTCATGGTTTTGTTCAGTTTGTGACCAACAGGTGGCAATGAAGGGCTTCTCCTCCAGCGTCACACCTGTTGGTCATTAGTTATTTTAACTTAAAAGGACTGCCAAGCCGACCACTTGAGGTCCTATCTTTGTATGACTGTCATAAGCTTTTGTATTTTTTAGGACTTTGTTATTGATTTAGCTTGTCCAATGTGCCCCTGTAAATGTTTTTGTTTATACATTTTGTTCAGTACACCCTGCCTCCCTGCTTTTTTGGTCCCCCGTCATCATGATCATGCACCTCATGACAGCAATGAGCTAATTTGTGCAGCAGCAGTGTAAGGCCAGCTCATTTACTGCCTTTTATTTGGATGTTTTATATGCGCGGCTTCAAGGTGTTATGAATATTTACTGTAGTTCTGACTTTCCGAGTGCATTAGTGTACATTAGTGATCGACTGTGGCTGTCACGTGGCACAAGAAGGCACTCTCACTTACTGTCATACTTAGTCCTTTTATTTGTTGTGTATTCATCATGACCTTAGTGTTTTTCATGCCAATATTTACCGTAATGTCCATTTTCGACTGCTTGGGTTAGTGAGGGGATAGCCTACGGCGCATTCCCGCAACATAGCCTACAAATTTGGGTTACCGGAACTGTGTCATAAAACGAGGACCCCTTAAACACTGATGGTATACTGTTGTCAAAATGAGCAAATATTAGATCAGTACTCCACAGTTAGACTAAATATGGATGTCATTATTGGCTATGAGACTGCCACTCAACTGTCTGGTTTAAAAATACAACTGACCACTCTATGATTAATCTTTGCGCCGATCAAGTCTTTCATTGGATTGTGGAAATTCAAGAGTCTGACAGTTCGGAAACGCGGATCCCACAAACGCAGACACAGATAAACTACGAAACATATTTATAGAACAATTAAGGACTGACAATGTATAAATAGAAATCATTGGCGACAAAGAGCCAGGAAAACCAAATATGAACATAAAGCGCATGCAAACGGCACGGTAAATTTGACAACTACACCAAATGGCAAAAGCCCAAACACATTCATTCATTCATTCATTCATTTTCTGATCCGCTTTATCCTCACAAGGGTCACGGGGGTGCTCGAGCCTATTCCAGCTGTCTTTGGGCAGTAGGCGGAGAACACCCTGAACCTGTTGCCAGCCAATCGCAGGGCACACAACGATGACGAACAACCATCCGCACTCACACTCACACCTCAATTTGGAGTGTTCAATCAGCCTGCCATGCATGTTTTTGGAATGTGGGAGGAAACCAGAGTACCCAGAGAAAACCCACGCAGGCACGGGGAGAACATGCAAACTCCACACAGGGAGGCCGGAGCTGGAATTGAACCCGGTACCTCTGCACTGTGAGGTTGACGCGCTAACCACTGGCCCACTGGGCCGCCCAAACACAAGAAATCAGACCAGAATAATTGGAAAACAATACTTTTAAAAACAAGCAACTATCAGAAAAGGGGTGACTGTGAACATGAAGTCTAGAAAATATCTCTTGATCATAACAGCAAGTAAAGTCAATAATCCGACCATAGCGTGGAAATTTGATCGTCCTTAAAAACTAAGCAAGGCTCGATTGGGAACGAGAAACAGGTGCACCGCTGAAGAGGCACGCCCTCCACTCCAACTGGTGCGGAAAACAAAACACGGACAGAACAAAACCATGACAGTCAACCGCATGAGGGAGGTGGGGAGAGTAAGGAGGGGCGAAGGAGGTAGCACCACCAACCCGATGAGGACAAACTTGCAAGAAGCGGAGACAGTGCAGATGCTCGGCGGTTTTTGCGAACACGCGCACAAACACAGAGAGGCTGCAGATCTTTGTTGGATTACGACAACACGATGATTGCCACAACTCAACAAAACATGACTACCGAGCTGGTACGTGTCTTTATTTGTGTGCTTGCGAGTGTGAAATCTTCCGACCTCGGTTGTGCGCTCGATAGTTCCTCGTGAATGACCACAAGAGGATGAGTATCGAATCAGACTTTGTTGCAATTAACGTGATCCTTTTCCACACACTGCATGTGGTGCAGACGATGTGCTCATGTCGTTTTTATTTGCATCGATAACAGCCGTTTTTGCTTTGGTGGAGTAAATGAATCCCCTCATTGGTACCTTGAATGGTGTCTGTGTGCCCCATTTATTAATTTGTCTCTCTTACTGCAAAAATTTTAAATATCCGTTCCTCTGCGGCTGAAAACCGTTATTTGCTCAACTGCTGAAAGTAGCCATTTATTTAGGGCCAACATTTTTTTTAATGTGCAAATAGTTATTAAATCATTACTATACAACCAAAACGAATAATGGCATTCATGTATTAAAACAGCAGATATTACAATGTGAATATGATACAGGGTGTTCCAAAAACATCATTGTGTAGTTGTCAATAACTACGTTTATTGAACTCACGTTTGATATTACAGTATACTCATGTTTTACTTACTGAATTGTTTTACTATTTCACAGGGTGAACAGTGACGTTCATTAGCAATAAAAAGTAAATGCATTTGTGTGTTAGTCAGAACATGCTTGGAGACAGTGAAACGCATTTTGAACATTTGTGAAGATTTGTAAAATTAGTTACAACATCTAGGCTGGAAAACATTGGTTGCATATGATTAGAATGTGGTGAACTGTTTCCCCCAACTTAAAAATACATGGAAAAAATATGCAGCTACAGTAATAGTTTTGGAGCAAACAACTTGCTCGCTTTGTTGTGCTAACTAACATTGTTGCTGAAAATGTCAATAATTCATATTTTAAAGTTGTCCCAATTTAGATGACATTTTAGCCCCCCAAAATACAAGTTGTGTTTTTTACAGTGCAGTTTTATCACTGATTTCGACCAATAGAATTTCCAGCACCATCTCTCGCGCTGCCCCTTACTAGAAAGCAGCCACCAGGCAGCAACAACTAGATTACCAAACAGTGACACATTGTATTGCAGTGCTTTGTAATTGATCGAGGTTAATGTCAGCAGTCTCTCGGGGCCTCCTGCGGCTCAGGATCCCAGGAAATTGCCTGGGTTGCCTGCCCTGTTGCAGCATCTCTGGAAGTTACTAAAATGTTTGGACAAGACTTCCACAATGATGGCATTTAAAAACTCGAACCAAAATCATATTTTTCATTCTGAAATAAAACAAAAAGTTATCCATGAATACTAATTTTAAAAAAGAAAAAAGAAGGTAAGATAGTAAATCAAGTTCTTGGGGCGGGGGGGGGTCAATTGATGGTTATTTACTTGCAGTTCTGTGTGTGTGTGTGTGTGTGTGTGTGTGTGTGTGTGTGAGAGAGACACGTTTAAAAATCATTTTTGACTGATTTAATTCACTTTGAAATTCTTCATTTTTCTTCAAAACCGTTACACACAGTTAGCTCAGAGCTGAAATTTAAAGTGACTCCATAAAAGCTCCTCATGATGCTGGTCTCCTTCTTGTAGTTCTTTTGATAACATTCACGAAGGGTCATTAACGCTGCAGTGCAATGCACCAAAGGTCACTCATGTTTGTGCTAAACTCTGAGACCGGAGTAATTATATTGATGGCTGATTTCAACCCAATTCATAACCAGAGTGGCTCCCTGCAGACATTGCACATTACAGTGGATGCCATCTGCTGCACACATTTTTTTTTCCAACCGCAGCTTTGATTTGCTAGATGATCACTGCCCCATTTGGTACTAATGTATGCAGATTGGAACAGTATCAATTTTTTTTAATCCACCACATAGATTTTTTTTTTTTGTGTGTGTAAATTGGTTACTACCTACCTACCTACATACCTACCTAACTAGCTCAAACAAAAAAAAATACACTTTGTAATTATAACATCATAATAACGTTTTTTATTTATGACATCACAGTGGCTGTATTTAAGGACTAGCCAAAGTTTGGTTAATTTCCTGTAAGTTGATTAACAAAGGATAAAAATGTAATGAATTGCCAAGCTCAATTTTCTAATGCTGCAAGTGCATAAATGCTAAAGCTCGCGAAGTGGACGAATTACCACATTCTGTATGATCAAGCGGACTCTTTCCCTTCTGCTGGTGAGATCAGTGCAGAGTGGTCCCAGTGGAGAAAAGGGTTTGAAACAATGAGATGTAATGCCATGCAGAGCCCGGCGAGGTCTGTTGCGAAGTCACACGAGAACTTTCTGTGCTTTTACTTTGATGTGATGACATCTCAGGCAAACTTGAGTGCAGCACCCGAGGAATAGTTCTGCTGCTTTATTGTCTCTCACCGGGCTCACTGACAGCACATCGTTGGCAGAAGTTGCAACATTTCACACCACAGCCAGCCACTGTCAATATGAATGCGTGTTTTTTTTCAACAAAGGTCACATCACTGCGTTATAAAATGTCACTTATCTCCTCATCGAACAAGGTGAGGTTGCAATAATTACCTTTATAAAGGAGACATGCTTTTCATCACCTCCATTTCAAACATTTCTTAGATATCTTGATAACACATCTGTCAAAGTACTCTAAGGATGGAGAATTCTGATAAACTTTACACACCCTATTTGGTGTCCTGTTGAAATTAGCCTGTGTGAGAGGCCTGCCCTGTCTCAAGATTATTTTCATCAAATATGCCCAGATGCCATGTTTCGGACTCTTTGGCTGTGACAGAGGTCTGCGTTCTACTTTATGTTGCTTTTGTTTTATTGGTTGCCGCTGATGTAGTCGGGAAAGTTTTCCCCAGTAATATTGTTAATAAAGTATGCAGCAAAAGAACATCAGCTTGTGAGAACCACTGTTGCGTAAATTAAAAAAAAAAAAAAACTCTAGGACCCGCAAAAAATACAATCAGCCAAGTTAGTGACACTCCGTTTCTCGACACGGTGACTGTTACAACACAGAGCGATGGCAAGATGGTGCTCTGACGGTCTTGTTGATGTAATAAAAGACTTGCAGAGATGTGAATCAATATGACGCCGCTGCTGTATCTCATTAAGTGAGGGGCTTGGGTTATCCCAACCGGTACAAACTTACAGCCTGTTTGAATGACGACCTCTGCTCTAAGCAAGATATTGACAAGGTGATACATACGTGGGCTACTTGCTAATCTACAGCTTTCCCTTGTGTGCAATTACAGTGCATCATTAAAGTCAGGGCCATGTAGGAAATACCGTGGGCTGCATATCTGCCACGGAAGCCCTGATGTAGGCATCCTTCTTAAATAACTTATCTAACATCTTTGACTGATGTGGAGAAGGATTTTTTTTTTTTTTGGTGCATATGCAAATCCAAAAACAGTATCCCCCAACTGCCTGCACTACTCCTCTTCATGTGATTTATCGGCAGAGTCACGATGCCTCAAAGACACAGAAGATGGAGTTAAAGAAGGTCTCTTGAGTCTAATTTATGAAATCTTCACAGTGCCTGGAACGTGCATGGTCTGCTTTGTAGCGCTTAAGTGCGGATGGGAGTCTGTGCACGATCAATACAATCTGAATTGTTGGATGAACTGTTTAAGGGAACCGATCAGCTGGAATTGTGTTCGTAAAGTGAACTTTTGAAACAGCAACATCTTGTGTATGGCATTGCTACTTTTACATGCGATACAGTGCTTGTGATGCAATTGTGAAATTTCATTCTGTACTCAATCCATTAGCGGTCTGTTAGTGACTTTTTTGTTGTTACTGCCAGCTCTCTATGTGCTTCCTCTTTACCCGTCTCCATGGAAACATAGGGTATGCTAATTCATTGTGCCCAGCCAATTCTGCTTAGCAAAAACCCTTAGCAAGAGGTTCTTCCATCCATCCCTCCATTTTCTACAGCCGTTGTTCTCAGAGTCGCGGGTGAGCTGGAACCTATCCCAGCTAAACTTGACGGGGTACACCCTGGAATGGTCGCCAGTCAAGAGCAAGGCGCTTAAGATTCATTTCATTCACAATTATGAGTAATTTAGAGCCTTAAGTGGACCTAACTGGCATTTTTGTTGACTGTAGGAGGAACTTTACATATGAGGGCCTAAGCCAAGAGTTGAACTTTATGATTTAATTCAGGATTGTACAACTCTTAGAACACACACTTGTGACACAAGCGTGAAGACTCAACGATTGTTTCCCTCAAATTTTGCCGAGCAAGAAGGGATATGTCCAGGAAGTCGAATAAAAAAAAAAAACTCTGTTGCTCTGCATAAAAAACAAAAAAAAATGGCTTGACCTTTTAAATGTTAAATAAAATGAAAACACCTAATAAGAAATGTAAACAAGTTCCTTCTATTCGTAGTAGAAGGTCTGCGTGTTGAAGCTCTCATCAGAACGAGTTTGGTGCATCAGCATTTTGATTAAGATCCTCCCTTCGCTCAATTGTCACGTACAGCTTGAGCCAGCACTTTTCATGACGCATTTATCTCACGTATGCCAAGGTGCCCACAAAATCTCTCTTCACTCCGGGGACTCATTTTCTGCTCATCCAAATCCACGTGTTTCCCCAGATGAGAGACTATTTTGTACCCTTAAGGATGTTTTAATTGTGACGTAATCTTAATTTCACGTATGTGCCTATGTGTGATGGGGGAGGGGGGTGCATGTGGGAACATGCTTCAGCCTTGATATTGAGTAATTAGAGGTTGAGTGTGAAAGTACAACTCAGTCATGCGGAAACATTTCACAGGTGGGATTTACTTCTACTTTCTTTCTGGAGGTTCGGGGTTCTCCTCATAATCTCCGAGTACCCTGTGTGCCTCCCACATTCCAAAATCATGTCTCCTAAGTTCATTGTTCTTTTCTCTTATGTGAAGTCAAATGGCCCAAATGAGGGCAAATGTGAGCGATGGATGGATGGATGGATCTTTTTCTACTTTTAAGCGCCCTAAAATCTGCTGTCATGCATCAGTGGAGTTGTGTGAGGAAGGTCATCTTGTGTAAAAACTCATACAAAAGCATAACAAGCGAGTGACTTGGAGAAAAGAAGTTTCACCCCCTTCTTAGAAATTGTTGGTAAACACCCTGTTTTGTTTTTAATCAGAGCTATACTGATAATGTGCTAATCCATTTCTTGGTAGCTTTAACTCCGGTTTTAATCCTTGTTGGATCAAAATCTTGACCCTGGGTGTTGGTTGGGTCAAATCCTCAAGGCAATGCGCTGAGTACAGTATTAATAACCCATCTTTGGCATGGTCCCTTTTGGAAGTCACACTGTGTTAACTATTTCAACCAATTTGTGTTAGTTTTACCCCAGAGTTTTTTAGAGTGTGCTGGGATAAGTTTAGTGTGGAAGAATAAGCCCCTCATACAACCTGTGTAATGAATGAATGAATGGCGATTGGAGGAGCATCAGCAGCCCATCACAGAAGTAATTACGGCTGTAGATGATTACTCCCTCCCATCCGTATGAAGTGCTTCCTGAACACTCAATTAACATTTCTACCAAACCCAAATGGGCCCATCTTGATTGTTAAGTGCTATGATCAGCATTGTGATATAAACTTGAAATTGGGGCCGAGAATTTTGGGATGGATGGGCTTTTACCTAAATGAATTATCTTGATCGAGCATGGTGAAAATCAACAACAGATTAATTCTTCTTTTTAATCACCTTTTAAGGGAAGAGTCTCTCTCGTATTGCTCTGATCTTGATTCAGTCCCTCTGTTGTATTGAGTAATAATGCTGACCCATGGAGTTGTTCCATTGCGGATGTTCAGATCTTTAGCCAGCAAACTAGTTGAGACATCCAAGTAGTAGAGAATTCTTTCTCATTTGCTTGATTAATTTTACAACTGAGTCCCTACCAAACAAACAATGGCTTAAAAAAAAAAAAAAAAAAAAAGATTGTCCTTGCGCTCTCTCTCAGCAGCCTTTTCATCCTATGGTAGCTATTTTTCATATTTGTTTTTGGCTGTGGTATATTTACTGGCAGGACTGAAAGAGGTATCGTACAGACTACTGTATAATCATAGAGTCACTACAGAATTGCAAATGCCACTATGCAGTAAAATATATGGATCAATATCTAAAGATGTAAGCCCTTTGCAGGTGATTGTCAGTGCTTTTCAGTAACTGCACTTTTGGCAGATGGATTCAATCCTAGCACCAGTCATGCACACGGTGCTGAATAAGCATTATGATTATCATATGATGACTGTACAGTGTGCTTCTTGATGTAATTGTATGTTAATGAAGTGTTATATTCCTTGGAAGCACATTCGTTGGCACTATTTATGCTCATGTGGTCATTATTCGTGATTCAAAAATAGAGCTGGTGCGCCCCAAAGAGCGAGGAGGGGCCGCAGTCTGTTTTACTCTTTGTTTCCGGCCTGGCTGTCCACATTGCTGGCACTGAGCGGCGAGGGTGGGTGAGGCGTGATGAATGCTGAGTTTAACGGCCACCGGATGATTGAACTCCAGCCAGCAGTGTCAGCCATTCATTGTGATAAAATGCAACAGCGCCTGCCTACGGCGCACCGTTGTCTTTAATTGTGACTAATGATGACTAGCAAGCAGCTTAAATGTGATGACTGCAACCTTGTAGAGATGTGAGATGTGCTCTCCTTTTAGCTTTATTGGCTTTTGCTGAGAAACGAGACGTCTCACTTGGCCATTTAAATGGGAAGTCAAGTAAAAAAGTCTCTTTACAATGTTTTGTGCACACCCGCTAGTCTAAACATAGCATCCTGATTAATATCGCGTTTGTGGAATATGAATTAGGTGAAAATCCATCTCAATGGAGGTGGGGGGGAGCATTTTGTCAAATGATGTCGACTGGGAATGACATTTTCACTCAATGGCGCAAGTGCCAACATCAAAGCGATAGAGTAACGAAAGGTAAATTTGCACCACAATTTGATGATAATGGGGCTGAAGTGCAGAATGACTCGCTCACAGACACATTTTAAGAAAAAAGCCGATTACAAAATATTTACTTGGTTGTTGAATTTGGCATATGTTTGGTGGGCAGGCATTCCAAAATCGCAGCTATATGTGCTATATGCCCCCTTCAAAACAAATCCTGTTCGATGATTCCCTGAGGGTGGGGAAATCCTTGATATTCTCTATCATCTCAGAAACCAATTACAGTACATGTCATTTTATTCATTGATCTTAAAACTTCCCTATCGAGAAACTTCAGTCAATTGCCTTTACCCAAAGCATCTCTCGGGATTGATGTGCTGCCATGTTTAACCATGTGTTCCAGTCCTCAAGGCAACAGCATCACTCAGCATTCCCGAGCAATATCCGGGGGGAACGGGGTTTAATAAATCCAGCTTCATCAAAATTCCAAGCACACCACACACGTCACACTTTGTTTTAAGCTGCACCACTTTGCCCATCAGTCAGTTAAGCTAAATGAAGTGCACTGTGATTGAAAGTGATCGCTCCGACAAAAAAAAGCAGCTGCAGCAGCATTTGAAAGTCTGATCTCATAACAGGGGAATTCATCTTTGATATGGACATGGAATTGATTTGAAAGAAGACATTGTTACTCCAATGTGAAAGTGAAGCCGTATAAACGGGCACATTCATTTGCTTGTCATCCTTTTTCGGGACAGGAGCTGGGGAGCTCAGATGGGCCACCGCGGAATTGGAAGGGCATCGGAATCGCCATGATGGTGATCCTGGCTGTCATGTCATTAGTCATTCTCTCCGTCATCGTCCTCACCCCTGGTAAGAAAGATGCAAAGGAAATAATGGAAATTCTGTTTCTAGCATCAAACTGTCACCAATTAAAACTGAAGGTTTGGAGTAGTTTTTTCACATTTAAAACGGGGGTGTCAAACTTATTTTTGTCATGGGCCACATTGTAGTTTCGGTTTCCCTTGGAGGGCCATTACGTCTGTGAATTTTGTGAAACCATATAAATGTTGAACTACCCCCGCATATTCCAAACTCGGCGAGCTTCGAATAGATGGGTAACTAGTTTTGACAGTCGAAGTCAAGAATCATCGGTCAAGAATAATGGATTGTTTAAGCATTGTAATTATGACATTATGTATGAGAGTTTTAAGTTTTGGTTCAGACTTTAGCATGCATCATCGAAGTTGACATGCTTGAATTGCTTTTGCGGGCCAAAAAAATGATGTGGCGGGCCAGATCTGGCCCCCCGGGCCTTGACTTGGACACCCATGGTTTAAAACAAGTGTATGTTAAAACATACACAATTCTTGGTGATTCCCCTCACTGATCTAGTTTTCTGACAGTCTTCATTATCACACAAGTATAAAAAAAATGTTAACCATTAACTATAAAATAAACAATGCACTTGGACTAATTCTTCTTTCCGGCTTCCATCTTCAGATGAATCATACTTGTTACGCCGCTCCCTTTTCACTCTGGAAGACCTGGAGAGGGAAGAGTTCAAAGGTCACGACCCCTGCGTGGCCTGGTTAACGGGTAAGGATCTGTCTTTCTATTCGGCAGTGCGTTTCCTTTCAATCCGGCGCACAGTGCGGATTGTTGGATCAGCCACATCACTAGCAAGAAATCAAATGTGAAGTCACAAGTGAAGTCGACAAAAGGAGGCCACACAGGCAAGAAAGAACAACGCAGGACATACTTGTCTCCTTCCTATTGAATTGGATCCAGGTCCACTCTTAGGCACCCTGTAAGTGTTCATGGGTCACTAAAGTACTATATTGATTAGTTATTTTGGGACCTTTGATGTCTTGAGCTAAAGTGAGTTGACTCGTCTCCTATTGATTTTGAATGGTATTAACACAAAATTGTAGAGGTAGCTGGATCATAGCTCACTCTTTTTTTTTCTTCCTGCCTAGAGAGAGAGAGAGAGAGAGAGAGAGAGAGAGAGAGAATTTTCAATAACCTGAAGATGGCTTGCACATAGATGTAGGCTTCGTATTTTTCTTCAAACTGTCTTTGAGGGGGACTTATTATGCTCCTTTTTTTTTTTTTTTTTTTTTTTTTTTAAACTGTGTCTTGATAACATACCTGTGACATGCTTTTGTCCAAATATCTCAAGCATCAAGAATGAGATCGGACTTTATTACCCCTGAGCAGGTGTGACATCATTTTTAGTTGAGAGCAAGAGCCAAAATGGCCGCCCCCTGGGATGGATAAAAAAACGGATGGATTGTGCCGCTTAATTCATATTCGACAAAAGTAATATTAATAAGAATACTGTGTTTAAACTAGTGGGGCCTCATAACACACACTGTATTATTATTGTAAAGAACATTTTTGACTTGACTTCCATTTTGTATTTCATAGTTGCTACAGCTACAGCATAGACTCACCTATTTGTATACAACTCACAAGTAACTCAAAAGTCAATTTTCCCTAATATGACCCCTGTTATATTGGCAGAAAACGAAGTTGTCCTGCGCACCAGAGAGGGACACGTCCTGTCATTCAGCCTCAACAACAACCTGATGACCACCCTGCTGGACAACACTTCACTGGTGAGAGCGCACATTTGTCTTGACTGCCAGATGAAGGAAAACTGGATGTAATGTGTGTAAAGGCTAATTGTGATTTGACCAGCGTCATGGCACTGAACTTTTGATTAATGTCATACACTTAACTTCAATTACAAATGACATGAAAACTACCGGTAATCTATTTTATGACAAAATGTGCTTTATGAAGACAAATAAGAACTGTGGGATACAGTGGGCCAATAGCTCATCGAGATGCGTTTGCTCGACAATGACAAACACCATTTAGTTCGGTTTGTGGGTCTTAAAAGTTCCATTTATGTCAGACAAACCCTGTCATATGATTGTCACTAACGCTGCATATGCCTAATCACTGATGTTACACCCTTGCAGTCAGAGCATAATATGCTTTGGCGGCGTGACAGAATATAGCTCCTTTTTCTACTCTGTTATTTCAAAGAGAATTTTTTTTTCCCCCCAGCATGGGCATCATCACTCCTAGCCGCCTGTGTGCGACACAAGCATCCTCACAGTATGTGGGTCACTGCAGGCTGCCGTTGTCAGGCTCAAGATGAAGTGTGTTGGGATATGGTGTGCACCAAGAGGTGTAATTGGGTCTCCCCAAATAAATGAAAACAAAGTATTGAGCACAAGGGCCACCATTAGATGTGTTGTTTTGAGACGGTTTAATGATGATTCAGTGCAACCAGTAAACACAAAATAGGCTTAAAGTATCTCAAGCTACACGATAACCACACCAGTGTAATGTCCTACTGTTTGCTGTTTTCCTGTGTCAAAATGACCGCTGTGAAAGATGTTTTCAAGACAACAAAGCTAATGGTGGACTTTGACAGAGCACTGTAGCAGAGACACTAAAAGTCATGTCAAGGTTTGGAGGAAAGAGCCAGCAAAAAATTAGAGAAGAGAAATTGATGATGAAACAAAACAAAAACATATATGTTTGTTTTAGATATATAAAATTGACCGCCCACAATTTTTTGTAATCATTAATGTGCACATGAGTTATTGTAAAGAGGAATTCTTATGATATTTGCAACAGTCAAAACAAAACAAAACATATACCGGTAAAGCAATATTGCAAATTTTCCTCAATGTCTGCTATAATAATAATAATAATATATAATGTATTCTGGTAGCCTAAAAACAAATATTGGCAATTTAAAAGTTACACAATCCACTTGAACCGCAGCTCCCTCCAAACATAGATAACCACTGCATGAATAAAAGAAAACAGTAAACACTTGAAAAGAAAACAAAAGGACTCAGCCGAGGGGAGCTGCACCGCTGCAATAAATGGGACCAAAATCATTCATCTCAACGATAGAATCCTACTTTTCTCATAAATCATTTGTGTGCTGTTTATTTCTGTGTGTGTATGTATGTTTTTCAGGACCTGACCACCACCAAATTCCAAGTTTCTGCAGACAGGAGCTTTGTGCTCCTGGCTTACAACATTAAGCCGGTGAGTTAAAGCAGCAAGGAGCGAATGAGCCCTTTCATCCCCACGTCTGTCGAAGCTTGCAAAATTTGGGCCGTACAGTAGGAGGAGTGCGTTTAAAGGAGTAGAAGGAAATTGGTCCCTCTGAAGTTTGTAAAATTCTATTTTGGTGGACACCACTGAATAATTGTGAACATGCAGGCGATAGCAAACCTTGACACGATCCTACCACATAATATTTGATGGCGATCTGACCTCCTGGAAAGTTAGGACAATTTAATGTTGATAGTCACAAGCCAGTCTTAACAGTCATGTTCTATCCACCTGAATTGATAAAAATCCAATCCAGAGGGTCCTCGGTTTACGACGAGGTTATGAAATTCGTGCAATGAACGAGTTTATGCAGTAGTATAAAAGCAGGGTACCCACAGCAGGACAGTCGGGCAACAATTTTGAGTTTTTTTGCTCCCTCGTCAAGCTCTTTAATAGATGAGCGATTATCCTGCGGTGTGGGGTGTTCGAAGAGTGACTTTGACAAAAACAAATAGGCGAGAAACTGTTTTTGTTGTGTGTTTGTATATGTCATTCAATGCAATGAAAATGACAAGCAGAAGAGTTTGAATTTTAAGGTAGTTACTAGGTAAGCTAACAGTTAGCCTAGCTTCTATTTCTTCTTCAATTTTGTGTTTTATGGCCGTTTGGATGCCGTGTGGCACCATGCTGCCTCCCACAGGTCGCTCTTGGTACAATGACAGATTTCTCATTTGGGAGAAGGAACTCGCTTGTTCGAAGAGATATTGTCGGACAATATTAGAAGAGTAAACACACACCTCACATTTTTTTTCCCTCATCATGTTAAATATGTTTCACTGTTTAAAATCAACATGCCTACCCCGGCTTAGAATACGTCGCCATGCGAAGCAAGAAGGCATATTCAGTTATTGCCGTACTTGATGTTATTCATTTTAATTGCTTTGTATTTCATGTCCTCAAACTGTTTTTCATCCAAATAGAGTGTTTACTATAACTATAACTCTACCTCTGCTCTGGGGTAGGATAACAATAATCTATTTGTGTTCCAAATTATGCACAAATTCAGGTCAAGTCACCACTGTAGAAGTGCAACGCAACACCGTTGTAAACCAAGGACCCCCTGTAGATCCTTGTACTGTACTGGAAACACATGGATCACACATCCGCTCCTCAAGGGCCCCTATACTGCATGTTTTAGATGTCTCCCTCTTCCAACACACCATATTGAAATAATCAGGATCGTTATCCAGCTTTTGCAGAGATTCTTGATGAGCTGATCATTTCAATCAGCTTCTGTTGGAGGGAAACATCAAAAAACATGTACAATAGGGGGCCTCGAGGACCGGAGTCGGTGAGCCCCAGTACAATCGATGTATATGTTATGCATTTCTTGTCACCACTAGTTGGCACTGTGACTAATTCAGAAAATTTGCCGATGAATATCTTCGGGGCAGGAACTTAATTGAACACAGGACATTTGGCCATGCTCTTGTGAAATTAAATTAGAGTTGCTTGTTTTTGTCGAGTTGCCATAATTCTCAACCATGCTGTGCCAACGCAATATAACGAAGGCAGAGATTTTCAGCAAATTAGCATTGGCCATCTGTCTGGTATGTATTTGAACTACTCATGCACTGTATCGTTTTGTGTAAATGGTGATTCAAGTGCCGGTGACTAAATTTTTCTTACTTTCCAGAGTGTGCAAGTTTCGTTTGTGTCTAAATGACAGGCATTTTTCACCAGCACACATAAAACGCAGGCAATTTGTGACTGTGAATCATTTGGGAAACTTATTCTGATCAGAGGCCATTTTAGTACCCAAGGTCCTGTAAACAAACTAATGTTTATTATTTCACTGTATATTATATGAGCATTTCAGAGTACAGTAATTGTTCTGGGGCTTTTTATCACAGTTGCTCTAAGCTTTTATTTACTTTAAGACTAGCATGGTGAGCCACATCAAACAGGTTCTCCATTCCTGCAATAGATGCTGACATCTTAAAAGATGATTGAGATGGTGTGAACACAAAAGAAGTGCTCCAGCCATACTGCAGCGCTCTTCGGCTCGATAAAACCGACACCAAGTGACTGGGAGAGCACGCGGGGAGCTCAGTATTTAAGCCAACACATGGCAGGCTAGTGAGAAGGGATGAAAGATTTTTTTTGGGGGGGGGGGGGGGCTGTTGGGAATGGGTGAGCAGGAGGGGGTATAAAGGAGATGAAGGCAATGGAACTGGCCGTCTGTTTCAGTGGGGAGGTCCAAATGAAAAGCTGCTTTGAATGGCATGGGTCTGTAGTCTCAGATGAACATGGGGGTGGGGGGTTGACAGCACCGATCTTTAAGTATCTTTGCGAACTGCCTGATGTGTTCCTCAATCGACAGACAAGCTGTAATTTACAAGCAAATAAAAATAAGTTTGGAGGGAACCAATGCCAGCACGAACTTCTTTGTGCGTTTTTACCGAAACCAGGACTTGAGTGCTATTACCTCTGTGTAGGTTTCCCACTGATTCTGCGACTGTTTCATATTCTCTTTGTTTGTCGATGTAATGAGCCTACAGTGCTCATCATTCCACCCTTTGCAAATTAATTATTCAGACAACGGTATGTTCATAAATGGCACCATGGTGGATTATTGGTTCATCAATCTGCCTCCTAGATCTGAGGTTTCAAATTTTGGCAGTTCAGCTCTTCTCCCTGTGCTTGTGTGGGCGTTCTCCCACATGTTAGGTTCACTGAGACTCCAAATTGTCCATAGGTTTGTGATTAGTGTGGGTGATTGTGAATGTGAAGGTTGTTTTGTGATTTACTGGGGAATACTTAGCGACGTCAATATTAAAGACTAAAATTTCCATCCATCCATCCATTTTCCGAGCCGCTTTATCCTCACAAGGGTCGCGAGGGGTGCTGGAGCCTATCCCAGCTGTCTTCGGGCAGTAGGCGGGGGACACCCTGAACCGGTTGCCAGCCAATCGCAGGGCACACACAGACGAACAACCATTCACACTCACACCTAGGGACAATTTAGAGTGTTCAATCAGCCTGTCATGCATGTTTTTGGAATGTGGGAGGAAACCGGAGTACCCGGAGAAAACCCACACAGGCACGGGGAGAACATGCAAACTCCACACAGGGAGGCCGGAGCTGGAATTGAACCTCTGCACTGTGAGGTCGACGCGCTAACCACTGGCCCACCGGGCCACCGACTAAAATTTCCATACCTTTGAATCAAAATAGATTTGGGTGTTTTTACACCTTTGCTTTGTCTGACCTCTGCCATCTCTCGCCCAAAGTGCTCACCTGCGACCCTAATGAGGACAAACGCGATTGAAAATGAATTTGGATGCAGACCTCCTTTGATATCGTTCGGCTCAGGCCACGCTCATTTACATATGGCTTCATTGTAAGATGATCAAAGACGGGATCGGGGGGGGGGGGGCGACTGACCTGCCAAAGTTGAATCATACATTCATGACTTAGAGCATGAGCCCACCCTCTGTCTTTTCACAAACCACAACTCCCCCACAATCCGATTCCTTTCGCCACTGCTTCATCTCCCTCACTCACTTTTTTTTTCTTTCTATCTCGGGGCAATTTATGCTGACTGGTGCAGTTTGCAGCAGCCCTACCGTGAGCAAGAGGAGAGAGTAAGTAGCGGTGGAGGAATTGGGGAGGTTGTGGCAGTGCTGATTGGCTTGGAGGAAATGGGATTCCGTGACTAGATACACCGGCCGGTTAAAATCCATCACAGAGATTATCGTTTGAGAGTGGCAGAGGTTCTCACTGAGTTGCACTGCAGCAGAGAGAAACAATTGAAGAAGCCGTGTGGAAAGTCCCTTTTTCTATTAGGCTGTCAGAGATGCCTGCTGGGGAACAATAAATAGGTTTTGGAAGCCAGTCAAAGAGTTCAGCCACGTGGGAATTGGGGAGGAATCATTGGAGAAAAATACCCTCAAAAGAGGTTGGAGGGAGGACAGAGAATTTGAAAATGAGATGAAAATCAAATACAAAGTAAAAAAGAGGGTCGGGGGGGGCGGTTCTGGGAGTCTTACGCACAGCTGAGCACAAAGACCTTTGGGATGAATAGATTCTAAAGGAGCCGTGCTACTCTGCTGCAGATGCCCGTACGTGGACGGGGGGGTGGGATGAATAGCAAAAAGGATACAATCTCTGCTGTGTTTCAACATCACACATTGAAGTTAAGTAAGTCAAATCAATTGGTGTGAACGTCATTGTTTGTCCATATGTGCCCTGCAATTGACTGACGACTAATCCAGGGTGTACCCAGCCTCTCGACCAAAGTCTGCTGGGGTACTCCAGCTCACCCATGCCCGTCAACAGGATAAGCGGTACAAAATGCATAGATACCCGAAATGTATTGACAGTTCATCACAGAGGAACGTCCGCCCTTATACAAGCACTTTCAGCCAGGCAAGGCTGCTACCTTGTTCTTGGGTTAAGGTAAACGCCTGACCTCCCTCCCGACTTATTTCTTTTTCAATCTAGTTCCACTGAACCATGGAGTGTTTACTCCCTTGCATTTACTCAGCCTTACCGGGCTGCATTTCAATGGATTTAACAGTCATCATGAAGAGGTCTCAGACCACTGAATTATCAAAGGGTTGAACAGCACCTGGAAAGGTGCCATTTTATTTGTTGATTTTTTTTTTTAAAGCATGCAAAGCTTATAACAATACACATAGCAGCCACAGTCATTTTTATCACATGACTATATAGTGGAACTCACTCTCATCAGGCCACTGAGTGATTTTCGGCTTCCCCTGCAGGGTGCGCTCGCTTATTTAGGCAGCTAATGAAGCCTTAAGCATCTGTTGAACCTCGTGTGGTTGGCTGACCACTGGTTAAGAAAGTGCTTGATTAAATATGCAGCAGAGCCCACATTTGAAATGCAAATCTCGTCAATGATTATGTTAATCTAATCGTGGCAACCAAAATCGTGATCAGGATTACAATTTGAATAATCCTGCGGCGCTAGTTTTCAGTATGGTGGTCCATTCATAAGTACTAAAATCCATTCATACATCAATTCTCCTAATGGCTTATCACCAGGGTCACGGCTAAGTACGAATAAATAATAATAAACAGCAATTCCAAGAGGGCCTTTGTACCTCATGTGCTAGGGCCCTAATAAAACACTCAGTTTCATGTAGTGTTCATTCGGAAATATCATGATATGGAGAAATAGCTACTTCAAGAAAGATTTTTACTTTCGTTTATTTTAGGATCGAAGCAAAAGTATAAAGCACGCAGCCTGGCCAGTATGAGAGACCGTTTGAATCACAGGCGACAATTTATACAGCTTTACATTCCCGTTGTTTGGGTGACAGAATAGCTACACATTCTCTATTAAGGCCATATCATCCATATTGAGTTTATGTGAGTTCAAACAATCCTTCTTATAGATACAGTATGTGCTGGCAGAACAAGATCCCTGAGTATGTGGCCCTTAGGTCTCCAAACTGGAGCAGTTACGTGCCGATGCACAGTAAGCTTGTGAACCTTAAGTTCAATGTATTCTAATATTTAAATATAATAAAAGGAAAATAAATGCAATGACTTAGAATAATTCATAAAATGCAGCACAAGTCCTCACCCATTTCAAGACCACATCCATGAATTTTGACTGTTTCTTCAAATATTTGGACGCGATGGTGCAGTACACGTTTCTCAGTGCACTTTCTTGTAGCATTTTTGTTTTGTTTGAATTTGATATCCAGCCGGACTACCTCATGCTTGTTTACGTTAGCTCAATTCTTTTCCAAGTTCCCCTCACCAGCTTCAGAATTGACCTTCCTTTATCCCTGCCGCCTTCACCCTGCGTCAGTCCACACCCGTCGACAAAGGGACAAAACCAATATCCTTTCTTAAAGAGTGCTTTGTAAAGGATGAGACGTTTAATTTCTTTCGGGACTTGTTTTCCAGAAAGCTTTCTAATGCCAGTGGGCAATTTGTCTCCTTTCAGCCTTGTGGAAAAAAAAGACTGTCAGAATCTATGCGTAACCTCAAATTCATCAGGTGATGCTGTGATCAATTGCAGCCTACACATTCACATAGACAGTCAAAAACAGACAGACACACACACACACGCACACACACGCGCACACACAAATAAAACGACATTGCCAGCCACCACAGATTTCACTGTGAAGATTGTTGCCTGCAGTGTGGACAAAGAACTTTTTTTTCTGTTCTTTTTTTTTTTTCTTTTTTTTATCACCACTTTATTTCTCATTTGTACCTCAGAGTACTCCTGTGATACAATGTTTTTGTATTCAGACCTGATTTACATCATGATGTAATGAGGATGAAACTTCGCCTAATGAATCTAAATCAAGTCTTGTATTCGTTCTTCTTTTCAAACCTAACAACCTCAGAACAATAGAACAGTAACAATGAGACCAAAGTATGTCGTGATAATTTGTTTTTACTGCTTTGTTTTTTTGGAATTTCTCTTTACTAACCGTGTAAAGACAATACAGAGATTTGTTTCCAAAGACATCGTATCTCTTTGAAGATAGTAGCTGAAAACGTGCAAAGACAGAGAACTATGTCCCACTGGATAGTGTGAAGAGAGATATGAAACTGTTTTTCGACAATGGAATAGAGTCAAATTTCTTGTCATTTTACATGCCATGAGTACAGAGCAACAAAATTCACTTACTAACTACAACCTGTCCAAGAGACATTAAAAAGCAATGACAGTGGGAGACAGAACTGGAAGCCTGACAGCACTCCAATTTTTTTTTGGGGGGGATGAAAACGAAAAAAAAATTCCCAAGTAATCCCTCCACATTTGTATAAGGAAAGGGCACAGTATAGGTTTGGAAAACAAGACACATGGATAAAAATGGAATGTTTCCTGTTTTTTTGGGGCTTGATTAAAACACACACACACACACACACTTTGTCTCTAGCATGAGTGGCTTTCCCCCAAACTTGAATGCCCTCGTTCGTATCAGTGTTTAGCAGTACATCTGCGACATGCAGTTAGCTAGCTAGCTACCTTTGACTATCAAGGCAATGTACGGTACAATACAGTGTTTTAATGAAATCCTTATGAATCTTACTGTGATATTACAATTGAAAAATAATGTAATTTTGCGTATCTGCTGTGAAATATCAGTTGATTGAAACCAATGTACCGGTAGACTAACTTTCCACTCTCAAATGCCCTGATGTTAACATCTGTCTACTCTAGAGCAATAACAAATAATATTGCTGCATGCAATTGGAGGCACTATAGTTGACTGGTTAGCATGTCTGCCTCACAGTACAGAGGTGTTGGGTTAGATTCCAGTTCCGGCCTTAATTTGCATGTTCTCTTCATGCCTGCGTGGGTTTTCTCCGGGTACTCCGGTTTCCTCCCACATTCCAAAAATATGCATGGCAGGTTAATGGAAGCCTCTAAATTGTCCCTGGGGTGTGATTGTGAGCGCGAATGGTTGTTCGTCTATGTGTGTCTTGCGATTGGCTGGAAACCAGTTCAGTATGTACCCTCCTACTGCCCGAAGACAGCTAGGATAGACTTCAGCACCCCCACGATCCTCATGAGGATAAGCGGATTATGGATGGATACCGCTGTGCTGTATTTCTATTATCAGTTTCTAATCAGAAGAAAATCAAACGTGTCTGCTGAATGACATTATTTTCCATTTGCGGGTTTGTGTTTTTTTTGGGGGGGGGGGGGGATATGGGCAGCCTCCCCACAAACAGTACGTATGCATGATATGCTCTACCTCTTTCAGGTGTTCTCTCAGTCCTTCACAGCCACCTATGCTATCTACAGTGTGGCCACTGGGTAGGTGGAATCCTGAATGCTAATGCATGGGCTGCATGCCGGCGGACGTGCAGACTGAGCAACTCCTCTCATCCGATCAGAGCCTCGTGCTTGCGTCAGACATACATTCATTCATTAGTGTTCTCTCCTCAGATTCCACTGCCTGAGCATCATTTTCACCATAATGTGAGTAAAAAGGGGCAGGTGGTCCTCCAGGGGAACTGTTCTGGAAAGGACTCAAGGAGGAGCTGTGAAGCAGATCATCGCCCGGTGATACTGGGGAGGCTTGTCCTGAAGGCAGTGAAGCCAAAAAAAAAGGATCGGAGATGTTGCAACCCTGCATGAACCAACGCCATTCTCTCTCTTTTTGTTTCCCCCTCTCTGCATCTTGCTTAGGCATAACAGCATCTTCCAGGGCAGGGTGCAGACGAACCATGGAGGTCTTTTCTAAAGGATACTGGTCCCTCGTGAATGCATCATGTGCGATGTTTCATGTGTGTTGCAGGGATCTGCTGGAACTTAGGCCACCGGTGAAGGAGAAGGATGGGTTGCAGTACGCTTCCTGGGGGCCTTCAGGGAACCAACTGGTGAGGCAGGCACTGATTCTGTCATTTGCATCACCTCAGGCTGAGTTTACACTACAAGGCTGATGATTAGTTTTCCTTCCGTGTCTCAGAATTTAGCGATATGTTATTGCTGTGTGAGCAGTAGAAAAGAGAAAAACCTAATCAGGCCTCAGTTGTCCGATATCAATGGAATTTCTGGCAATGTGACTGCAGTGTCAATCAATTCTTAACACGATAGCATTTTTCAAGCACCAGAAATAAATCATGGGAATAGAAATCTGTTCTCAGGTCAAATTGTCCCCACTATCGTAATTGTACGATTATATCATTCACCTCCACAAAATCACCCATAAAAGCAGTTGATTTGCTGCTATCCTTTATTATACGAGTGAAAAATATGAGTGAATAATGTGTAAATGCTTTTAAATCCAGGTTTAAAAATGATGCTCTTTTCCCTTGTCTACGATGAAGGTCATTCAAAGCATTTTTTTAAATTATCTTGTTGCATTGTAAGTTCTGAGTCATGTTAGTAAGCTGCTTTTTATTCCTTTGCTTTTGAATGTCCTCAACACTTTGATTTACAACTGCTTTTAAATGTTGTACTTTGAATTCAGTGACGTACATTGAGTTACCTTGTGTATGAAATATCCTAAAGTAAAGCCGCCGTGAACTCAAGTTTATACATGCAAGCATCTTTACTTATATGGCGCGTTCACAACAGCTGCAGCCGTAACAAACATTTAATATAAAACAATAATACAACAGAATACATCACATAAAAACACTGACAACTATACAATCGTAACAACTATTCCTACTTCCTACAGCCGCCTTGTTGTATGTTTAAAATAGCTACTTTGCTGTAATGGAGCGAGTCACACTCATCATGTTCACCGTGGCAAGTAAAGATGTATTGACTGGAACTAACCGCATGTGTGCTGCCAAGTGCTTCATTCCCTCTTGGATGTTGTTCCGCTCCCTCCTTTGTTCCCGCAGCCAGCTACAAAACCTGTAACTGTACCGTCTTAGAGAAAGGATTTTGTTTGTGTGTATCATTGCCAGGCTTTTGTATTTGATGGAGACATCTACTACAAGCCCAGTGTGACCAGCCAAGCCGTGCGTCTCACATCCACTGGCGACCGGCACAGTGTGGTGAACGGGCTCTCCGACTGGACCTACGAGGGTGGGATTTACACATTCCGGCGAGCACATCATCAAGATGTCATTCTTATAAAAGCCTTTGATATGTATTTTTATTGTATACGTGTTTTGAAACCAAACAGAAGAGGTGCTACTGTCTTATGCTGCCCACTGGTGGTCCTTGGACGGCGCCCGGCTAGCATACCTGAGCATCAACAACTCTGCCACACCCCTTGTGGAACTACCTCAGTTTTTGGGTGGCCTGTACCCCTCCAATTTGATTTTTCCCTACCCCAAGGTGGGTTGTATATATTGAACTGTGTTGCTCATCGCAAGAAACCCAGACACACAAGCAGGTCTCCCTAGACTTGTTTTCTAACCCTCACTGAGCCAAGGAACATATAGAATACAACAGAAAGCCTTTATTGTGGTTGTATAGTGCAGATACAATGGGCCGCAATACAGTACCATGTTTGTGTCTACAATCGAATAAATGTAAAACTCATAAGTGACATTCATACTCTCATTCAGCATCACAGCCTAAAAAAAAAAAATCACCAAAAGCATGTATTCTGAAATGATCTTTTCTTCGTTTACTCACAAATCTGATTACTTTGTGTGAACCATCGGCTTATTTAGTTGAAAACTAATAGAAACAGGTGTGTGAATCCCACAACCCACAGTTATTTTTGGTGAAAGAACAGTAACTCAAACGTAACGCAGAACGAATAAATGTGACTTTGTAATATCATGTAAGTTGAGGGGTTCGTTGTTTTTCGTGGATAGCTCTTCTTTACGAATGACAAAAGGAGAGATGGAATCCTTTCATGCAGTTTATTGAAAGGGGAAAAAAGAAAGATGTCTGCACCGCAGCACGTTCGAGAACACAACTCTCGTAACTAAAATCACTTCCTGCTTCTCTTTAACAGCCAATCAGAACCTATCAACATAAAAACATGTCTAAGCAATTATTAAACAACAGAATATAATTTAGGTATGCTTAACATGAAATAATATGATGCTCAAACATAAAATGATAATTAATAATATAACATTAGCTTACAGTAGAGATGATGTCTTGGAGACATGTAAGCTTTCAATGTGTGTGTGTTGACACAATGTGCATAAATCAACCAGACATTGGTCGTAATCATCGGCAATTTGATAAACTGTCACATTTATCATCATTTAGGAGTCATTGTTTTTTTTATTGTCGACCCGTCTCTGATTCAGCAAAGCTATGGTGGAAATTTGAAATTTGGGCCACTTTATTTTAATATAATCAGACATGTTGGCACAACATGAGGGGACACTGAAAATTAACGACTGGATGGCATAACAGCGGAGTGAATCTCAAATTTTAGAGAAAGTGAAAGTCATACCTTCTCTACTCGTCAATGAAGCTCACAGACCAGTATAATAATTTTAATGGTATCAAAGACACATACTTAATGGCAAATAAAGATTTTTCCAGCCCCTGGCAGGGAGCTGGGCATAAATTCAACGCTGGGTTTAAACTTACATATGCGCAATGATTATCGTAAATGAGGCATCAGGCGTGTGTTGAAATGCGCACCCTGTTGGCTGCAGATAAAGGCAAAATGTTGGTGTCGGTGTGCGGTTAAATCCCGCCATCTAGAGGATAAATATTATAGCGCACGGTATCTTAACTTATGTTTTTATTTTCTGTGGTAAGATAGTGGCACTTCTCCTTCCGGAATTAATTGGTTCTGGAAGAAATTTATTAACGAGAAAATGTTGTAAGTGGAGACGCATTTTCAATGTAAATGCCCTAATCCGTTCCAAGCCCCGTCAAAATTCAGTCATAAATGTTTTCTGAAGAACAAAAATGCATCAAAATATTAAACAAGTACATGTTATAATTAGATTATTGCACAATAAATGAGAGCTGTGCATCATGTAAAAAACAAAGAATAGAGTACAGAGTAAAAATGATGGTCATTTAACTTTTAACTACATCCTCATCGTTTTTTGGCCTCTTTAGTTCATGCTCTCTGTCAGAAGTGGTTTTTGCTTGGCGTTTTGTAAAGAACTGATCCAAGGACGTTTGCTTTTGTCGGCTTTTAACAAACCGTCGAAAATGTCCATGGTAAACATCAGCATAGTGAGCGATCGCCCGACTGGTGAACACTTTTTTTCTGGGTGATTCTCATTGACGTATAACTTTCGGAATGCCTCCTGACCCAAAGGGCGAATGACAAGGATACTACATAGCCACATTTATAGCAACACACACAGACACACTCTTACCCAATGGGACTCCAGGAAGATGCTTGGTACAGTAATAGCCAATGGCAGAGCAGCTATAAGTATGTTGCGTCCAGGGA